ACTTGTTGGGTCTTTCCCAAAAAGACTCATGGCTGTATTCGATCAAAAGGGTGCTTCTACTAAATACTGAGCAAAGGGTCTGAATACTTAGGACCATGTGATATTTCAGTTTTTCTTTTTTAATAAATCTGCAAAAATGTCAACAATTCTGTGTTTTTCTGTCAATATGGGGTGCTGTGTGTACATTAATGAGGGAAAAAAATTAACTTAAATGATTTTAGCAAATGGCTGCAATATAACAAAGAGTGAAAAATTTAAGGGGGTCTGAATACTTTCCGTACCCACTGTATATATATATATATATACATACATCTTTTTGTTTTCACAAGTAAAAATGTGTTTTAATTATTATTTTTTTCATCCAACAAGTTAGTTAATTTTATTTATTTAATTGATTTTTTAATCATTTTTTTTATTTTATTTTAATTTTTTTAAGGAGGAGAGTCAGCAAGATTTGTGGACAACTGTATTTTTACCTTACAATAATCGTTCAACTTAATTATTAAATGTATGAATACTTACCACTTTTGGAAAGGATTTTAACCAAGTAAATCCAAATCGTAAGATTTTTAGGGGAAATCATACTTGGTTGTTTTTAATGTTAATAGTTTTTATTATTTTCTTAATAACTAAACCTGTCTCTCCTCATGAACACCGCTTTAGAAGCTGGCATGGCATTATGATGAAAAAACTAAACAACGAGTGCTTCTCCGCACAATCTATATGTATATGTTTGTTTGGCGTAATAGCGAATGTTCTGGTCTGTCTGCAGGATAATTTCCCCTTTGATCCTCCGTTTGTTCGGGTGGTTTCTCCGGTCCTGTCTGGAGGGTAAGATCTCCTCTCAGGCTTTCTGTGGTGTTGTTAGCGGTGTTCCTTACGTTAGGGATGCTGTGTTGATAACACTTTCTATGAAGCCTGTGTTTATAATACATTATAAGAGTATACGTAAGGCATTATAATGAATGCATAATGCCTTGTAAAACCTTATAATATGTTGTATCATCTCATGAGTAATCATAACAACCGTTTTAGTGCATTACAATATTTACTTATTTTTATAGCTTTTAAGAGTATGATGATTTATAACACACAATGAACACAATGCATCCACTTAACTCACATTAGATTATACTATTTCCCATCGTTATAATGGATTATAAGCCTCACATCTTGCCATTGTTAACTCTTTGTTACTTTACTTCGCAGACAAACACCACTTATAAATAACAACAACAATAATAATAAAAATAATATTGTTTCTTAAACAGCCGCAAGATCAGATATCTGTAGTGTAATATGGCACATTTGATTTTTACTATATTGTAATATCATTAAGATACTGTACAGATCTTAAATAAATAATGACGAGATATGAGACTTATAACACATTATAAATTAAGAGGATTGCACGTGGTGTTTATTGCATGCTATAAATAATCACACTCATAAAAGTTATAACCACAAATACGTTTTAGAGTTTTTATTTACATATTATGTTTCTTTTATAATGCATTATGCATTCATTAGAATACCTTTAGAATGCGTTATAAAATGGGCTTCATAGAAAGTGTTCCCAGACTTCATAAATGTGCATGCAGAAGTGTTTATTCGTACTAATGCATAAGTCTTCACATTCATTCTATATCTGTTACACATGCAGTGTAGTAGCCAAACTGTTAAGCAGCGTTGGACTGGAGTGTGTATTATTCAGCTCTTTATGCGGAACATAAAGGAAACCCGGTTAAGCGGTGGTTGTGTTATTTCAGGTATGTTCTTGGCGGAGGAGCTCTGTGTATGGAGCTGCTCACTAAACAGGTGCGTTTGCTTTAACTTCCTCCTGGACTGAAGACGCCTCCACTTAACTAAACCAGTCACATTTATTTAATGCATGCATTTATGCATGCATTTGTCCACTTATGAAGATGTTAAATGTCCGATGTTTTCAAATTGCGTCAAACTCCTGAATTTAAAAAGGTCAGAGAAAATGTTTTCACTCCTGAGACGAGCTCTTATGACTGTGCTGATACACAGCTGCTGTCAGACAGGTGTGTGTGTGTGTGTGTGTGTGTGTGTGTGTGTGGGGACTTATATTTTGTTTCATCATTTTATATTTGCCGCCTTCATGTAAATAGAGGCTTGCTTTGAGCCAGAACAAACTCTTTTACACAGTAAATGTGCGGTCCTTCTGTCTGTATTCTGACATTTGACTTGATTCACTGAAATGCAACTTCATTTATTGTTGCCCGTTTCAGCTCAAATTAGTTTAAATTAATTTAATTTAGTTTTTAAATTGGTTTCTGTGCTTCTAATATACAGTAGTCGTGCGTGTGTCCACCAGGTGGCGCCATCAGCTCATGAAAATACCATTGAGGCTTTAGTTGCATGCATGATATTCCCTTATTTTTGTATTTTTGCGTGCTCACAGAACTGTAAAGCCATGCATTTTATTTACTGATGTTCCTGCCGTTCAATGCAATGCTTTTAAGACATCTCTGATCAATCTCCCGAGTCTAAATTCCTCTTTTATCTGAGAGCTTTATAGCAGTTGAATCAGGCTGACTGTATTTCTCTCTCCAGTCATTGTGCTTTTGGAAATGCTTTCAGATGCTCTCAGGACACAAACGCTCGGCTCTTAAGGGCCAGAAATGAGAGCACGGTTTTTGGTATGATGAAGCATGAACTGGATTCAATCATGTTTCTGAGTCTCCAGGAGGTTAATAGCCAATTGTTGAAATAACTCCACTTATGTGTGCATTTGTTGTGGTCTAGTTTCCATCGCTGACCTCGCAGTAGATGATTCTACGCTTCTACGCTTCACAGTAAATAAGTGGAAGTGTTTGGGTAACTGTTTATTGACGAGAGGGTTTAGTGAGAAATGATCTGTGATCAGTTGTGCTGGTTTGTACCCGAGGTCAGACCTTGAGCAGCTGGACGAGTCTGTCTGATAATGAGCCGTCATTCATTCATTCCTTGAGCAGCTGTAATCCTGTGATGATGGTCAGTCTGTGTCTGCGTCTGTGTGATAGCAGGAGCTCCAGCACACATATCATTCATATTGAATATTGGGAAATTGAATTTCTGTCTCTGATATAAACCTCATCTCTGGACAGGCTTTCCTGCGCTTCATATCAGACTGACTGTGTCTGCTAGGAGATAAGGGGAGATATATATATATATATAAAGACTATTTAAGGATCACTGTTCAGGCCCAAAAATATGAATCATTGTCATTTTAAAATCTTTACCAATCTTACTATCCTTCAAACCACTAGGTTTTATCCATTTGTGAGCAAAAGTTTTTTTTGTTTTTAAAAAAAAAAGTGCTTTAAAGTAAAACGTTTATTTTGACATCTTGACATCTATTACAAAGTGCACTATTTCTACTTAAAAAGTCTACTTAAGTGTGTTAAAGTCATGAAAGTGTTTCTCTTTAAGTCACTTAAGTGGCCTTTCACTTCAGTCATATTATATTATCTATACAAAAAAATAAAAAGCAATAGAATACATTCAAGCACACTTCTGTTTCACAAGGGTGCACAGAGAGCCAGATCGTGTCGTCGACGTCTTTGGCTCTACAGACGTGTCATTGACCAGTGACCACATTAAAGCGGCCCTGTTATTGGGTTGGTAATTACCCAGAGTCCCTTGCAGGTTATGCTAATGAGCGGCCGCTCTCGTAAGTAGGCTATCTATATGCAGAGGCTCTTGTAATGGATTTGCTCATTTATTACTGTTAATGTGTTAATGTTCACTGATGAGGAGGGGAACGAGAGGAACTAGATACAGACCCGAGACTGAGATATTTATACATATTAGCAGAGCTTTTAGACACGCAGCAGATTTCATGACTGATTGTTGTCATTCTCGTTCAATATCTGCGGTCGGCTGCGTCTCATTCCTCATCCGAACACACACACACACACTCTCTCACACTTACACACACACATACACTCTCTCACACTTACACACAGTGTCACACACACACACACGCACACACTCTCACACTTACACACACACACACACACACACACTCTCTCACACTTACACACAGTGTCACACACACACACGCACACACTCTCACACTTACACACACACACACTCTCTCACACTTACACACAGTGTCACACACACACACACTCTCACACTTACACACACACACACACACACACACACACACACACACTACATCCAACAGGCCGTTTCTGAGCACTTAGCAGCATTTCTGCGGTTTATCTGTGGTTCCTTCACCTCGCTGTTGATCCCGGATATCAGCCCATTTCCCCTGAAACCAGAGCTGCATTGTGGGTAACAAAGGGCCGTAGAGTGCAAACCTGATCCAGTGATTCGGGTCAGAGCCTCTCCGATGACACTGACTGATGGAACGAGCCGCATTAATAGAGTTATAGCAGAGGATTCGTGACCTGGTCAAACCCAGTGAGAACCAGACGTGAGCACAGAGGAGAAGTCATTGCATGTGCTGACTCTGGACGTCCAGCGGGAGATAAGAACGGAGAATCACGGCCACACGTCTCTCTGACCTTTAGTGATACATGTATATTTTCTAATAAACACTGAGAAAGAAATCTGTTAGTTTCCACATTCAGCAGCAGAAGTACAGAACACGACCGGACTCGTTTAGATTCACGAAACAAGAAGTTGACACGCAGTTACGTCTGAGACACTGCCAGTTACTTAAGTGCTTAAAGAGAGACGCTTTCATGACGCTTAAGCAGACTTTTAAACAGTGAATTGAGGTATTCATATAAATCCAAGTGCAGTTGTTAGTGAAGGCTGCACTGAAATGTTGCACTAAATTAAAAGTTCAAATGTTACAAATAAGTTAATATTGATGTTGTAATACTGGTAGCACTAATATAACAATTTGATGGTATAAAGTAACAATAAAGTAACAATTTTGAAATGCATTGATATTTTTTTTGTCTTTTATCTCAGTATTCTTAACAGTGTTTTATTTATATATATATATATATTTTTTTTTATTTTTTTATTTTTTTTTTTATTTTTTTATTTTTATGCATAATAGTAACCCTACAATGTGATCAAACAGTTTAAAATAGCTGGGCTAAGATATATAACAATTTTGATGACTGCAGAAAATTGATTATTTCAAAAGGTTACTGATGACACATCATTTGGATATGTTCATATCTGGGAAAAATTGGGGATTAAACGGGTTAATTTAGGTTATACAAGATTCAACTCGATTTTTTTAAAAGTCAGTTTAATATAGTTTAAGTTGAAATTGCTTGTACAGCCAATCTGATTATACTTACAAAATTAAAATAAAATTAAGACAGCAAGTGAACTTAAGTAAAAGTGCTGTTATAACAACTTAAAATTTGTGATAACTTAAATATCCAACTAAAGTAAATTGAACTTATAATTTTAAGTCAAGCACGAACACTTACTTTTAAGTTGAAACAACACATTTTTATTATTCTAATGTTGTGATATCTAATCGCAGCAATCAGTTGTTAAACCGTGAATAGAAATGATATTAGAGTATACTTTAGTTGATCATAAATGCTTGTCAGTGCACTCAGCAGTAACTTTAACCATATTTCAAAGACGATAGAAGTCATTATGACGTTACATTTAAAGATGCACTGAAGTCCTACTTGAATAGGTTAAAAAATACCTATTGCACTTATTATAATACATTTTCATTTAACTGTAAATAAAATGCACGAGTCTGAAAACATTGCATTCAATTTGCACTTAAGTGTATTATTTTCAAATACATGATTTACTTGGTAACAATGGGATACATATTAACAACTAAGAGTTTTCCCTCAGTAAACTCCTGATCTGTTGCTTACTGATAGCGAGTGAGGTACTTGTATCTTTTGTTACAATATACACAAGTGTTCAAAAGTTTGGGCTCAGTATGTTTTTATTATTATTTTTTTATTTTTTTAAATAAATGAATACTTTTATTCAGCAATGATATGATACAAGTGATGATAAAGACTTACATTGTAAAATATTTCTATATTCTATTTTGAATAAATGCTGTTCTTTTTCAAACTTTATTAATCAAAAAATTCTGAAAAATAGCAGGTATCATCAGTAAGGTCGTGTGTATATATATAATTATATTAGAAGACATTATAAAATATTTTAGATTTCACCAGATAATATGTGTATTTGTAGAAAAGTCAAGTGTGTCTCTCTGACTCCGTCTGTGGATTTGTTTCCTGATGAATTTGAATAAGCTGTTGTAGTTTACATATAATCGCTGCTCCACCCCTGGGTTTATTAAATATGGACACAGACAGACACAGTATCCTCTCAACGACGCTCTTGACATTCATCTGTGGGCGTCTTGAACATGCTTTATGAAGCGCATCGGCACTAAAACATGAATCCATCTCTCAAGCGCTGGCTCTGATGAGGGCCGGTCGTCGTGGAAACACGGCTTGATATTTCCAGTAACACCAGGGACGCATGAATGCAGAGAAACAGCATTGATTGTTTTAAATGGATGCTCTGTTGACATGAGATGGCTTTAACAAGCTCCTCCATCTGCTGTCCAGTCATCTGAACACAATCAGAGCGAGCTGTGCTCTTCCTCACGGCTCGTGCTGCAGGACGCAATTTATAGTTGTTTTCTTTCAGAAAGATTCCCACTTTTTATTACAGCAGCATGTGATAACATGGCATGCAAGGTTTTTCTTAAATTAGGTGAGATAGATATATATATACATGCACACTACCGGTCAAACGTTTGGGATCAGAACAATTTTTATTTTTTTTACAGGAGTGTCTTCTGCTCATCAAGGCTGCATTTATTTGAGCAGAAATACAGGAAAAAGTTTCATATTGTGAAATATTATTGTGATGTAAAA